TACAGTATATGAGCTATAGTTTCTGTTTCGATTTCTTTGTATTTTGACATTTATGAATTGATTGGAGGATGGAAAGTTGTCATACAGTATAGATCAGGGATCACCAATCTCGGTCCTGGAGGGCCGGTGTCCATGAAGGGTTTAGCTCCAACTTGCCTTAACACACCTGCCTGGATGTTTCAAGTATACCTAGTAAGACCTTTATCAGCTTGTTCAGGTGTGTTTGATTAGGGTTGGAGCTAAAATCTGCAGGACACCGGCCCCCCAGGAACAAGTTTGGTGACCACTGGTATAGATGATCAAACGAAGGGCAAAATTATGAAAAATGTTCAGTGTGAAACATTTTAAATGACTAATATTTATATAAATAATAAACATTTAATTTGGAATAACATGCAATAATTAATCATTCTCAATAAGCTGAGAATCTGAAATCTGTTTAGCATTTTGACTCAAATGTCTCAATCAGCTTTACATTTTCACCTGCTTTAAATAAAAAATCACAGAGAAACAGAAATGTTCTTCATAATTAAAACGTGCCAACTTCAAAATCAGTTTCTATGTTCACTCTGAATAATAATCATATTCTCACTCTTTTTATCAGCTTTACTTAAAGCATTTGAGAAGAGAAAAGAAGTGCAGTGTGAAAACTCATGGCAAAAGGACAAGGACAAACACACACACACACAAACTAATTCATCCTTGGCCTCTGCGAGTGATTAAAACTACTTTGATGGGTCGTCTTCATATTTCAGAGACATGCTTTTCTGAATTAGCATGCAAAGTTATTGTGCTGCATCATCCAAAATGACATTTGCTGCTGCAGTCAAACAGAACCGAGTGAAGCCTGCGCAATACGTTTCCTCTGCAAACTAACGATAACTTGCATCAGGAAGGGGCTCCACTCAGCAAAACTCACCAAAGCTTAACTCTGAAGCAATTCTAGAGCGTGCAGCAACAGTCAGATTATACATACGGGACATCATAAAGTTGACTGGTAATCTTCTATTCCTGGAATATATGCAACTTGGCGGCAATTGTGCTTGAATATACATTTCCCATCCTGCCCAAGAAAGATTTATGCGACCCCTTGGGAAAAGTTATTAGTGAATTGATGAGGCTAAATTCAACATCCGCCTTTCTCCAAAGGTAAACTTTCCTTCAGAAATGCAATTTATCAGCTGGTAGACGATTCGCCATAGGATTAATCATGGTTCCTTTTTGTGGGTTACGAAATAAATTATATATTTTGTCCAAGTTTTAAGCTTGTATGCACAAACATTGATATTCCACAAGTTTTCCAATGCCATAAACTTGAACAGCTTTGGAATTAAGTGTATATAGGAAGTGTAAATTGCAAGATATAGTTTAGCAGAGACAACAGGATCTATGTTTTTTACTCATACTTGAAATTGGTTCTCAAACAGTGATATTCCTCACTATGTCCAATGCTGGACAGCATTGACGAAAACCTTAACAACTTTGGAATTAAGTGTATATATATAAAGATAATCTAGTTTAGCAAAGACAACAACATTAATATGTAGTTTTGCTTTTAATTAAAAAAGTAAAGTAAGCCTTGTCAAGTATAGTTTTACCGATAGTCGAAACTGGTCCTCAAACAGTGATATTCGTCCAGACTTCCAATGTTGGACTGCATTAGCGTAAACCTGAACCACTTTGGAATTAAGTGTATATATGGAAATAATTTAGTTTAGCAAATACAACAACATCGCATGTACTTTCACTTTTAAATAAAAAAGTAAAGTAAGCCTTGTCAAGTACAGTTTTACCATACCAACATTGGTCCTCAAACAGTGATATTCCATTGTTGGACTAAATTACCGTAAAAACAAACATCTTTGGAATTAAGTACATATAGCAAGTATATATATATAGAGATAATTTAGTTTAGAAAAGACAACATTATCGCTTGTAGTTTCGCTTTTAAAAAGTAAAGAAAGCCTTGTCAAGTATGGTTTCACCTATAATCGAAATTGCTCCTCAAACCATACCTGCCAACACTCCCGTTTTTCCTGGGAGTCTCCCGTACTTCAGACCCATCTCCCATTTTGGTCTGTCCCCCCCAGTCCTCAATCTCCAGTTTGCGCACCACATTTCTTTCGAATATCTCCCCAGCTAATATCAGTTTCACTCTCTCACGGCAGAATCCAGCAGCTGATCAGCGCCTGCACCTTCACACCCTGTACAACTTCACTCTTTCCCCCAAGCACCTGCACTCTTCGTGGCCAGAAGACATCCACTGCACCTAGACTGTACCACTCAATACGCTGTAAATAAATCACCCTCCGGGAAAAAGTGTGTTCAGTGTACATCTGTGTTAGTGTTTTCCCTCTATCTTACCACAATGGAGATAATATAGTTTAGCAAAGACAACAATATCACCTGTAGTTACCTGTAGCCTTGTCAACTATGGTTTCACCCAAAGTCGAAATTGTTCCTCAAACAGTGATATTCCTCAAGATGTCCAATGTTGGACTGCATTTACCCACAGTCAAAATAATCCTCTGATTTTAACCCATCCAAGTGTACACACACATACACACACACACACACACACACACACACACAAGCAAACCTGCAACCATTTGATTACAAGTCCAACTCTCCAACGATTAGGCCACAACTGCCCCAAAATTTGTATACATTTCTAACATTACAAGTGCTGCATATCGTCTCAAATCTGAAGTGCTGGAATTGTTAGCAGCAATGGAAACCACAGAAACTGTAATCATTCTATCAAACGTAATAGTTCTCCAGCGACTTCTACTGATAGCAGCAGCTTGAGGTGTCTCGCAAGAATGGAGCTAGATCTCGTCTCTGAGCTCTTGGAGAAACAGATGTTATTTTTGAACACTCTTTAACTGAAATGAAGAGCAAAATATATTCAGGAATACTTGAATTGTTTATCAAAAGTGCACATTTTGTTTAGATAGCATTTTAAAACTCTAAAAATGAGCACAAAAGATGTCAAAAGTACCCTTTCAAAAACATGCCGTTAGTTCAATGCTTTCTGCCAAAACAGCACTGACTTGTAGAGCCCCCCGCCCCTTACTAACCAGAGAGGAAACACACATGGACAGTGCTTCTACATAATTCAATCACAGAAAGAACAGCCAGAAAGGGGACATTGATAGATTTGTGCCGGATATTAGTAACATTGACCCATAACAATGTACAGTACCTATAACTGTCAGCATGTTTATGTGCTTTTTATACTGTTTCTATTCTAATTTGCAGTTAAGAGAAATAAATAAATACATTTAAATGCAAATCAAAGTATAAATATCAGTGAACATGAACAAATAGATTTCCCTACCAGCGAATATTAATTAATTTCTTCTTGTCGGCTTAGTCCCTTTATTCATCCGGGGTCACCACAGCAGAATTAACTGCCAACTTGTTCAGCACGTTTTTACACAGCGGATGCCCTTCCAGCCGCAACCCACACACACACTCATACACTTTGGACAATTTAGCCTACCCAATTCACCTGTACCACATGTCTTTGGACTGTGGGGGAAACCGGAGCACCCGGAGGAAACCCATGCAAACGCTGGGAGAACATGCAAACTCCACACAGAAACGCCAACTGAGCCGAGGTTCGAACCAGAGACCCAGCAACCTTCTTCCGGTGAGGCGACAGCACTACCTACTGCGCCACCCAGCAAATATTAATCAGACACCAAATTTAAAAGCAGACACTAACCCGCTATAACGCCATCACCAATGACTAAATCTCCAAAAGACAGACGAAAACATCGGTGAATTGTAGCTCTGTCATGGACATGAGGCATATAAATTCCTGAAAAACAGCTCGAGGTGAAGTATATTGATCGCAAGGGCTCAGTTTTGTTGATATGAAATTAAACATTTCCGTAGCTTAAAACAGATGGAAATATGATTGCTATTCGTATGACTACTATGGCGAAGGCTTAAACGGAGCAGTGCTCATAATATCGAGCAAAAAAAAAAGAAAAAGACAGCTGGGAAACATAACCTGCTTTGTATTTTTGTAGGAAACATAGTTTAGATCTGTTTAGGGTAAGTGGTGTGTGAGTTATTGCCATCTATCACTGAATGTCAGGAATATCGAAAACAAAACTTAACTCCGCTACTTTAGCGCCGCTCACAGAGCTTGATCCACGCTGACATTTCTCCTCTTGGGTTTAAGATTTTGAAAAGGGAAAAAATTCCATCACCCTGTCCAAACTTTTAGGATACCTGGTGTCAGATTTGCATAATCCAGGGGTGTCCAAACTCGGTCCTGGAGGGCGGGTGTCCTGCAGATTTTAGCTCCAACTTGCTTCAACACACCTGCAAGGATGTTTCTAGAAAGCCTAGTAAGAGCTTGATTAGCTAGCCCAGGTGTGTCTGATTGACATTGGAACTAAACTTTGCAGGACACCGGCCCTCCAGGACCGAGTTTGGACATGCCTGGCTTAATCCACGCCTTGGCTTGTTTCCCCTTAATCAAAAGCTTGACAGCCACACGTGCTAAGCCACGATTGGTGTATGGCAGTTTTCAGGTGTGGCTTAGCGAAGAGTGAATTACTAAAATTATCAATGGTGGTCAAACTTTTGCAGAAGGCTGTTCCAATATCAGGATTTGAGATTATGTAGTGACATGACATTTCTGTTTTATCAACCAGCCCAAGTATCACTTAAAAAAGTTTTGGATTCACTTTAAGATGCAGGACAGAATGGTGGGCTTCAGCCTGACGTCAGTCCGAGCTTTCACAAAGGAAGGTGTGATGTTGAAACATTGCTTTCACACAGTCACAAAAAACTATTCACACAGTTGAATCACCTAAATTAATCCCTTGGTGGTAAGTGCCACACATTTTAATTAATCACACTTCAGATTGCCAGAGTTTGAAAAGGAAATGTCACCAAGCCAAGATTATTAATGCCTTTAAACATTTGGGGGGTTCAATCAAGTGTCATCAGTATGCGCAGTAGGGGAGCAGAAGATTTACCTTGTTGGGACACACTGCGATACATCATGCCATCGAGCCAGGAAACGCCTACAGTCTCGTTTTGCTCAGACCCCTTTGAGACGGCAAGTGAATGCATCCTGTAGAGTGAACACCGGGGGAACAATTAAACACAAAACCTTACTCCGACACACGTGTGGCTGCCTTCAACACTGACATATTAAGGCACATCCAAGTTGTTCAGGTGTAAAGTGGAGATTGCTGCCGGTTCTCAAGAGTTTTTCACATGTTCTCACAGGTGCATTTTGTTTTTATCTGCACATGTTAAAGGGGTTTTGTTGTTAATGAGAGATGGGTCTGTTGTCTAAGAAAGAAAGTTTTCCCTGATTAATATGCAGATTATAAAGAAACTTTAAGATATTAAAGGAACGCTCCAACTTTTTCAGGGGTAAAAAGGCTCATTTTATAAGTCTCTTAGAGTTAAACAGTTGACTTGAATCGTTTTTGAATACGTTCAGATGATATGTTGTTCTCACTGGGTTAATTTTGGCTCAGTCATTAGCATTTCGTTCAAAAATGTAAAAAAATTAAATTAAATTAAAACTAAATAAAAAAATTTAAATTTCAATAACTGTCCTATTTAAAGCTTGAGTCTTCAGTAGTTATATTGTGTATTAACATCAACGGCAAATGTAAAATGACTATTTTCTAGGCCAATATTACTAGGAACAATACACTACCTGACAAAAGTCTTGTTGTCGATCCCACTTGTAAAAGCAACAAATAATAACTTGACTTTAAGTTGATCATTTGGAAATGTGAAGGTAGATTTTTTCCAATGAATCATCTGTTGAACTGCATCCCAAACTTTACAAATACTACAGAAGACCTATCTGAACCCGCATGGAGCCAAGACTCTTACAGAAACCAGTCAATGGGGTTACATTCTGTATGGGGGTGTGCGAATGATCTGCAGAGTGGATGGCAACATCAACAGCCTGAGGTATCAAGATATTAGAAGATAAGTTATTAATTGTTGTTCCTAAAACTTGGAAAGGCGACAAGACTTTAGTCATGTAGTGAACTCTCATTGTGGCATATTAGTACTTTAAAGCGGATAATTATCAATACTCTTTTGAATTTTTTGAAGGAAATGATAATGGTCAAACACAATTAAATTCATTATGCTAAGCTAAGCCAAAAGTGACATTCCCAGAATAAGAAATATTCTAGCATTAACGACAAACTCTGGGTTAAACCCAGAGTTAACAGAGAAAGCCTATATCAAGCGTTAGATCAGCTCAGATTTGTTTGGTTTTGTCAATCCAAAACTTACTCTACAATGCAGAGTTTGTTAAACTCATTTTGAGCAAAGTGCCTTGGGTTAGACATGTTGCGTAAGTTTTCATGGCAACAAAACCTGCTTAAAATCAAATTGAGATTGCTCAAATTAAATGTAAATGTGCCTGCGTCAACACTAAAACTGGTGTAACTGGTGCCTCAGGTGGTGTGCGTGACTGATAATTATCATATCCATGATTCTGCATATAAGAAATGAAGAGTTTGGAGTTAAAGTTAAAACATTTTAAGACAAAGAAGCTTGAATACATAAAACAACAACTTTGATATAGTATATGTCACTTTATCAAATATTAATTTTAAGTCTTGAAATCAACTGGACTAGGCTTCAGCATATCAAATATGTCTCTTATAAACATGGCACACTGTAAAAAAAATCAATAAACTCTATACCTTTTTTAATTATTTCTGCTTTAAAACTGCATTATGGAACCTTGATTTGTCCTCCAACAGCTTTTAACATTGACAACTCAACAAAAAGTGACTTTAATTGACATTTTTAATCATTTGAAGTGAGGTATTTTCTGTACTTATGTTAATAAATTACAGTACAAAAGCTTAGCAATAAACTGCCAGTACTATGTGTTGTTATTTAACAGACTTAATTCTCTAAGCTTTGTATACACCATATTGTTTCAAACTACTAAAATACCAATTAAAGTCACTTTCTTAAACTGCTAAAGTTTCATTTTCAACATCAAATGGCCACTGATCACAGATAAAAGTCCCATCATTTAATTCACGACTGTAAATAAATGGAAAAGTCCCATAAATCACACTTTTTAATTAACAGATTATTTTATTTTACAGTGAAAGCCAGTTTATATCTTGACAAACACTCAACGCCACTGCTTTCCTAAACATTGCATTTGCCCTCTGCCCATCATCTACCTGGTATTTGATTAAGAGTATCTTACCGCAGCTAACCATGAGGGAGTCTCATTAGCTAAAGGGCTTCATCTGGTCCCGGCGGTAAACTAGGCAGGGATCAGGCCGGGTGTTTGCTCAATTCCCTCGGGTTCTGGAGGTGGTCTCGCTGGACACGGGGGCTTGTTGATAATGAGTCTGTCTTCCTGCAGCCTCTGTTTGGCCACCGCTCTGTGATTAAGAGATGTGTCCATCTCCTCCAGTCCGTCACACCAGGGACTGAAACCTGGAAGAAAATCACTGAACACACAGCGGAAGAGTCTTCATTACTCATCTAATGAGCTGCTCGCTGGACAACAACAGATTTACAACATACTGGCTCTGTTAAAATGCTAGTGTGCTTCCTTGGTGTCATAGGTAACGTTAATTTTCAGATCTATATTGCATATTCGTTGTTATTTATGTGCCAGCACTGTGGCTCAGTGGTTAGCACTGTCGCCTCACAACAAGAAGGTTACTGGTTCGAGTCCTGGCTGGACTTGTTTGCATGTTCTCCCCATGTTGGTGTTGGTTTCCTTTGGGTGATCCTGTTTCTTCCACAGTCCAAACACATGCGCTATAGGGGAATTGGATGAACTAAATTGGGCGTAGTTTGTGAATGCGAGAATGTATGGATGTTTCCTAGTACTGAGTTGCTGGAAGGGCATACGCTGCGTAAAATATATGCCAGAATAGTTGGCGGTTCATTTCAATGTTGCGATATTGATATAAAGAGTGGCAGACTTCTTTGCATTGATCAAAATCCATCATAAAAGATGGAAGTGAGCAGATTAATGGGAGCTGCATTTTATACAGTACCCATCATACAATAAGAAGCGTCCGGCATTTAAAGTAGGACACTGCATGGTATTCCCTCAGATGCACTTTCTGCAGTAAGACTCTCAAGGCAGAACACATGGAGTCAGCAGCCCAGAAATCTTTTGGCCTCTCTGGCTCTTGATGGCGGTTGTGCTTACACAGGAGAACTGCCTCACTGGCCTCACTGACACCTTGAAATATGTTGTGTTCAGGGCCAGAGGTCTCTAAAGACCTGGACACCGGTGACCCTTTAAAGCTGCTCTTTTCTAATTTGGGAAAGGTTTTACTTCCCATTATATATTTATTTGAGCCATTTGTCATTAAAGCTTTGAAAAAGTCGGTGTGATATCTTGGAAAAGAAAAAAAAAACAAGAAGAGAAAAAAATATATAGTACATATATTTTTTTTGGTAACACTTTACAATAAGGTTCATTAGTCAATGCATTTACTAACATGAACTAATCATGAACAACACATGCACAGCATTTATTAATCATAATTGAACATTTACTAATGCATTATTAACATCCAAGTCCATGCTTGTTAACATTAGTTAATGCACCATGAGTTAACGAACTAACAATGAACTACTGTATTTTCATTAACTAACATGAACAAATACAGTAGTAAATGTGTTGTTCATTGTTTGTTCATGTTAGTAAATGCATTTATTAACATTAACTAATGAACCTTATTGTAAAGTGTGACCGTTTTTTTATTATTCCTCTCAATTCATCTATTTTATTAATTCAATATATTTATTCTATGTATTGTTGGCCTTAATTTTGTAGTTTCTAGTATTGCATCTATCTTGTGGGCATTTTATAATATTTGATTCTTTATTGTGTGAAAACCATTTCTTTATAAAAAAATAGATATAATGGGTTTATTACTTCCAGTGCTAATACATCATTAATAATGATTAAATACAAAATTGGTAGTAGTCATTAAGAATTATGTAGTTTGGACATGGTGCGAATCATGAAATGAATCATGACCATTTTAACTCAGTTATTTTGTCAAATTTATGTTGTCAGATTGCCAAAATTCAGTCTAAATATGTTAAAATAAAAATGTTATTAAATTTAATCAGTTAAAATATATGAATAGGGTATGAATATACCAAGAACAAGTCAAATCCAATTAGTTCAATTCTATGAGGTTGGTTTACTTAATATTCAGGGACAAAAATAAGCAGCTCCACACTTCACACAATAGATAAATCAATAAGATGCATTTAAAACTCACTGGAGGTATTGATGATAATGTTACAAACATTTTGTTATTATTATTTTCATTTATGTTTAGCAAAAAATATCAATCACAAAGTTTATTAGTTTGGTTATTTTTAAAGTATTTATTCAAAATATAAATTTTGTATGCAATTAGAATAAATAAATCTTATTTGTTAGGCCTAAATAATTATTTTGTCTAATAATTATGCAGCTTTAATGTTTTACACATGAAAACATACAACATTTATAATGTTATATCATGATTAAAAAATAACACTCCGTTGTTCCCACCACCCTTGGATAAAGAGTTCAACTTGCAATCAGTTTTGAGATCCCAAAACAAACATTTTACCTGATTTTACATTAAAAATGTGTCCCATACATGGCTCTTTAATTAAACTGCCTGTCTTAACAGCTGCTTCTGACCGATTCATGCAAAAAAAGTAAATTTTATGCATAGCTGATTACTGGTGATCTTGCCAGACATGAAGTTGAATCATGCTTATGTGCCAAAATGTTCTTATGACAATGAGTTGCAGTTTCCAAAGCCAGACGCTCTAACAACTGTGCAAACTAAAAGCATGATGGGAAGTGACTTGCATGGCTAATGACACTGTTCAGCACTCATTTAACTTACAGCTCTGAACAACCACGATATTGTGCAGTTACTCTGTGTGAACATAACCTACACAATGACATTTTCATCAAAGTCGATGTTTATTTGTACATGAATAAATTATAACTGCAGAAAAAAATATAGAAATAAATTATCACTTTTGGCTGCTCTTGATCGAGATCACCACAATGGATCACCATTATTACTGAGATTATTGCTTCTTGCTGTACATTAAATAAATTGCTGTTGAATGCAGAAGATATGGAAATTATAATAGTTGCACAGATCAATAAATAATAGTATATTGTTAATCATTAATAGGAATATTATTGTTACTAAGGGGTGATTATTAGGGGTCGCCACTCTGGATCTATAATCAATAACAACCACATCAACAACAATATTAATATTATAAATAAGTTATTTAACTAAACTCATATTTAATAAATATTAATAATAATAATAACAACAACAACAATTATGATCATTATTATAAATAATATTTCTAAAATATTTGTTTTATAAGTAATATAAATAATAATAATTATTATAATAAGTATTGTTGTAATTTTTTTTTAAATTTTACAAATAAATATGTAAGTAATCATAACTATCAAATTTTTATTAAACACATCCATATATGATTTTAACATTAATAAAAAATAATAAAAATTTACAACAATAATAAAAATTATAAATATTAAAATATAAAAAATAAATATTTAAGTAATAACTATTATTATTTTTATTAAATACATAAACAAATATGAATTTAGTTAAAATATATATTTATGTATTAATAAATAATAATAACTGATATTATTTAAATATTTATTTTAATAATAATAAGTTGTTATTTCTTAAATATTTTCATTCAAATAGTAATAAAAATAATAATTATAGTATTATTATTATATACATGTAAAAATAACATTATAAATAACAAGTAATATTAACCATTGTTATTATTATTATTAAATAAATAAACATGAATTTATTTATTTATTAATAAATAAGCAACACTAATAATTACTATGATTATTTAAATGGTTTTTAAATAATAATAATAATAATATTTTTTTTCAATAATACATTTATATATTTATAATTAAGTTTTTTCCAATGTAATTAATGCAATTAATTGTGAGTGAAATCTGAGAAAGAAATTTAGGAAGCCGCCATTTGTGGTCAACACCATAAGACAAATCCCAAATAATCTGTTTTAATATCTGAAGTGTTTTTCCTTGACTGCATTAAGATTAAATGTACAGCAAATGGAGACAGCTACTGACTTCTCTTTGAAGAGTTTCAGAATCGATCCCATAAATTAATCAAGTATGAGGAAGTTAGATAAGTCCGACACACGTACGCAAGACGAACAGACTGTTTTTTTTTCTCACTAGTCATCACCTCTGTGTTTTCCACACTAATATGCTGGCCATCAAATATCTGCTAATGTGTCAAAACCCATATGGTCCGTATGCTAATGAAAACAATAGAAAGCGCATGTAAATCCCCCATATGGCCCAAACTTTCTCAACAAATGCCAAGCAAACCACAAGGGAGCTGACGACAGAATCTTGAACAGTTTTGGTTTTGATAAATATTGTCAAGTATGTGGCAACAAACAGATCTCATAACCTACACGCGGCGCTGCAGTTTATCGAAGAAGAAAGCAGCTCTTAAGTTGTGAAAAACGAAAATCAGCAGGTGTTCGGATCTGAGCTTTGTTTTGGTATTACATCACCTCGGGCTCATGGAGGGGGATTTGAAGTGTCATTAGAGGGTAATCTCAACACAAGCAGACACTCAAGCCCACCGCTGGTCCAGTCTACTGTGAGGCTTATCTGGCGGAACAGGAAAAAAAATCACAAATGAGATCTCTTTAGTAGCCCCAGTGTTTCTCCCAGGCAAAATAAAAAGGAAATGGATCAGCGTGGTATCAAAACTGAGAATTATAATTTTCCGTGGAACAGTCCAGAATTTATTCTGAATGATCAATTTGTGGCCATATTACAATTTTAAAAGGTTCCTAATTTTGTTTTGGAGGTCTACAATTAGGTTAATACCAATCTAAAGCCTGTTTCACACCGCAAGCGTAAGCAGCTGCGTTTTTTTCGGTGTCATGTTAACAGATTAGAGCTTTCATATCGCACCCAGCAGCAACGTGAAGCTGATTAAAAGTGACTGCTTTAAGACTATTTATGGGAGTTGTAGTCCATAGCGAAGTGTATTGTGCGTAGTGTAGTTCGACGCAGCTGCTTCTGCTGTCTTCATTAGTTTCAAAAACACTTATTATTTTTACAATTTAAAACGGCATCCTTGGAAATCATTTCTGCTAGAGATACTGCTGCCCTAAAAACAATAAAAAGGAAATAAAAAATCTTATTTATAGGGCTGCTCGATTATGGGAAAAATCATAATCAGGATTATTTTGGTTATAATTGTAATCGCGATTATTCAAAATGATTATCAGTTGAAGTCAAAATTATTCCCCCTTCAGTTAATTTATTTTTATATATCAATATTTCCCAAATGATGTTTAACAGAGGAATTGTTCACAGTATTTCCTACACTATTTTCTCTTCTGA